TTTTTCCAATACCGTGCAGCCCTAGAAATGTTGCGTCACAGCAATGTTCGGAATTACAAGAATTATACATAACCATATGCGCAAGAAGTTCATCCACCTAAAATATTCCTGTAATGTGTACTATCTGTGGATATCACACATTTGTCAACGTGTGTCCATCTGTCCTCAGTATATGCCTGCAAACACAGCTATGCAAGGGACCTACATACCACAATACGCCCAAGTGCCTCCTTCAAGCATTACAGCCGAGGTATGAAATCCCTGCATGCTGAATTATTCCAAGTGTTTCAAAGCCTGATTCACTGTGATGTACTGTCAGTAATGTTGACCTCATGCCACTGCAGGAAAATAGCGTCCAACAGCAGCAGGTTGCCATAGAGACACCCACAGACCACACAACATACTCCTACCAGCATGGCAAGTGAAGAGGAGGTGGGCTACTTCCTGTTGCTTTGGAAATATTGTGGTCTGAAATGGAAAGAGAGAGTGAAAACAAAGTTTATTCACAAGAAACATTTTTCATGATGTTGTATTGGCATATCTACTGTATCCAAGAAATGATAAAATCAATTCTTCTGGACTAGATGGATGAGTAACTCAAGTTGTTTTATGTTTTTATAAGCTTCTTTTCTCACTCTAATATCTTTCTCTCTCTTACTTTAGTGCATTCATAGAAGTGATGGAGGACTTTGGATACTGAACCACCTCTCTTGACATAAAAACAAATGGACATTGTGAAAAGGAACAGAGAAGTGTGTCTCTTTCCAATGAAAGAAAGCAGACAGTTTTGCAACTTTTTTTTCTTGGAGAAGACCAACCGATAATGAAAGTAAGTGAAAGATTTGGATGGAGAAAGCTTTGACTGCAAGATGTCATAAAAGTTCAGAGAAAGCGAAGTAAGCTTTTTTAACACAAAGACTCACATACATGCACACACACTCCAACACACTTTGAGAAATATTTTTCTGCAACTTTATTTTCTAAAATGTTCTGCAAAGCCAGAATGAAACAACTACGATGTTAAGGCACCATAATTTGATTTCATGTTTTTGTAAAATTCTTCAAAGATTTTGTTGACTGCTTTTGAACCGTCTGCTGCAAAAGGAGGAATTTTGTACATAAAAACTGTTTTTGCAAAGTTCTTGCAGCATTTTTCTTGAATATCGATTTAAGGAAATCCTGAGGAACCTGCTGAAACCAGCAGCTAAGTCGTTTTGATAGAACTACAGAAAAATGTGCTGTATCGAAGAGCATTGTAAATGCACTCATTGTTTCAAGCAAGATTGTGTCCAGCAAGACGAGACTGAATTCTGAAACCAGGACCTCATATTCCCTCAAAATGTCCTTTTTCCCTTCCAAAATGCTGCTTTATCTTGTAAGTTAGGTTATGCTCTGTTTAAATGTTGAGATTTATTTTTGTATTTGAAGATCTTTTTTTTTAAAGGAAAATTTCAAAGAGAAGCTATTTGAATTATAAACTTTTTTTATGGCTTTGTTTTCATGTCAATAGTTCTGTCTTGCC